AATATAAAGTAGTTTTTGTAATAGCTTAGTATCGCTGTCTTATATTTTATAATCTGCTTCTTTTTCTCCGCTGTGTTGTAAAGCTCAAAGTCAAAACAGAATCTGGATATTTGTAAAAACCTGAACAGACACTGTTTCGAGTAACGATTAGATGACAGGGACTACCTACACAACATTGCCTATATGCTATGAAACGAAGTATGTTTCTTGTTAAAGGGACATTTCATAATATTGGAGAGATGCTCTGTTGAATGGTGAAAAACAGTTTATATTTAAACTGCAGTTACTCTATTGACATCTTTGTTTAAAATAAATCCAGACTACTTGGTTTTGAAGGAAAACTGAATGGCGAGTCTAAGAAGGGCCGCAGCCAAAAGGGGCTTTAACTATCTTCAGACTTGGACGAAAAAGAATGCTATGTTTGTTTTTTTTTGAAGCAATACATTTCCACCTATTTCAAATTTTAAGTGAATATAAAAAAAAAAAAAAAAGGGGAAATGGAATCGGAGGCAGCGCCAATGATTGTCTTATGTGGTTGGGGGGGGCAGATAAAACATATATCAATAAAATCTTTTTCATATAAGTTTCAATAGTTTTGTAATTTTTTAAAATGACTCGGATCATAAACAATAAAATCATTCCCACTAAGTCCATGTTTCAGATAGGAATGTATTCTCAGTGCACCACCTCCAGCCTCTCTTTTCCTGTGTAAATAATGATTATGCGTCATGGGCTTTTAGGACTCAAGGCAGCTTCTTTATAAGCCACTAGGGTGGTGTAAAGATGTAGGTTTGAAATACTCAAAAACAGGATTTCATCTCGGCCCCACTCAGACTAGCCATTAGCGTTAGCATCAGTACCAACTGATACAGATTTGTTTTTAAACAAAGACATTATGGGAGTAATCTCATGCAGACATGATATTAGCATGAATCAAAGGTTCACTTCAAAAATTATGAACCATCTCTTTAATCATAGCTCTTTTCTCCTATTTACTTTAAAAAGATGCATTATGGAGGATTTAAAGATTCAAAATGACAGCAATCACATGCTTTGCATTTCCTGTTCACGCTCAGTTCTCACTTTAGATTAATTCTCTTTTTCTGTTTCTCACTTCTGATTTAAGAATAGTGGTATAATTTAAAAGTGCACCCCTTTCAGAAATTGGCACGGCAACAGAGTTGGAGAAGGTTGGAGAGAAAACTGTGGTAATTAGTCCACAGGGGACGGAATAATAAGCCATCCTGAAACCTTTTCATCTCGCAGCAGCTCAGTTTTGTAACCTGATTTGTGTTGTTTTTTTATTTTTCTATACTTTCTTTCTGTTTTTGTTTCCATTTTGCTCATCAAAGCAAGCTAAGAAGTTGCTCGGCTAAAATATGTTAAAGCCAAAATGGAAAATGTTCCTTTTGTCTCTAAACTGTGGTTCTAAAATTAAGCCAATAAAGCACTTAATGCCAACATTCTCGTCTCTACAATGCTCATTGCTAGACATTTATAAGTCTGGATTAAACATAAGCTAGACTGTAAAATACAATAAAACCTATAAGGATCACTGTGAGTAAATTGGGCTTTGGTTTGCATTCATTGGTGCTTTTTTAAAATCAAAGCTCTGGACTTTAAAACCAACTACTGGACTAAAAGCAGCTTCCAGACCGTACAGATTGCAAACCATCACATTCATTAAGAAAAAAGCTCAAGTTTGAGCCACGACTGCTCTCAGATGCTGTTATAATCTCGCAAAATGGCATTATTTACCAACAGGGCGATATGAAAATATCGAAGGATTAAACCTCGATTTTTTTCACTCTAACGGGCAGGTGTGTAAACTTTCCTGCGTCCAGCTGATGTGTGTCTCCCCCTGCTGCTCACACAACAAGATTGCCCGTTTGCCCACTCATACAGTACATTCCAGTATATGGCTTGTTTGCAAATGGCAAATACTGTGAACTAAAGAAAAGAATTTAACAACTAACAAATGAGGAAAATAACTAAGCGGAGCTTTTTGAGCTCAAATCAAACCCTACTTCATTTAATTAAAACGAACATGATTGCATTTTAAATCTTCAAATCCTCCAGATGGTACAAACATAACACGCAAATCAAACAAAAACTTGCAGATGTAGCTTTTACTGTATATGAATAAAACATTTCAGGTATTTTTTTTAAAGGGTTCTCATTTGCTGCACTCACAAGCACTAGGTTTTCAGCTGTACTAGTATAAATAGTATATTCTTAATAGCGTATATACTGTATTTGTGCAATGCAGGAGAGAAAAACTATGAATATTCTGTATAGTTGCTGCATGTTCTGGTAGGCACTTGAGAGGCATACTCCCTATATCCCACAAGGTACAGTAATACTCTAGCTGCAGGAAAGATTATTTTTTCTTTTGTATCAAACTATCTGAAAAATGTATTCTTTATCTGCACGGAGATGGCAATACTCAAAATATATATAGCATATTTGTAACCATTTTACTCTTATATGTATTGGAAGGACAACATGCAGTTTACTACTGGCTGAGTGGTGTTTCTTTTAGTCTACTTTGAATTGTTTTGTTTGCCTGAATAAAAATAGAATCTGACTTTAAAATTTAAGACAGACTGTAAGACGGACCTATGCTTTTCAGACTAAAATGACCCTGTTCCATCCACACGTCAACCAATCCATCTTTCACCTCAATGCAAAGCATAAACAGATATATAAATACACGGTAGAAAAAAGCCCACTACTCCTTTAATCCAGCCGCGTTGGTGTTGTTCAAAATGCTTTGAACAACACCACAATGACCACCAGAGAAGAAGGAAGAGTTCTGAAAGAATCAACTTTAACAATGAAATTTTAAACTTACTGCAAGAAGGACAATGTACTGTAGACCCTGTGTCTCTACGCTAATATAAACGAAACAAACAGGAATATATTTCAAACACAACACAAACGGCTGCAGGCTCAAGGCTATCATCTATTTTTCCATTAGTTTTTTTTTTATATTTTTTTGTTGTTGCGGAGAATATGCAAAAATGTTGCAACAGAAAGGTCTAGATCTACAACTCTAAGAAGCACGATTGAGTAAAAAAGAATTTCATTTTAGGATAATGTTGCAACCACTTCTAAAGTACCTTGCAGAGTGTTTATTACCCTTTAAATTTCAAAGTTTCTTTCACTTCATAATGGGAAACTTGCATGTATTTCTTTGGAGGATGGTCTAAGTGATATTAGAATAAAAAGTAAGTGCAAAACTGTGAAGCAAAGGAAAAAAAACCCAAGGTTTTCAAAATTGTTTTTGCAAATATCTGTGGAGTGTGATATATATATATATATATATATATATATATATATATATATATATATATATATATATATATATATATAAGTAACATGTATACACTGTAGTGTATATTTATAATCAGCAGTAATTCTACACAGATCTGAGGGAACACACAAATCAGTGTCAAAAGCTGTGAAGCTTTTTTAAATTAGAGGTAAAAGATTTTTATATTGATTATTATAAAAAAAAAAAAGCAAAGTATTCAAACATAAATTTACATTTTGACTTCACTTTAAAAATTAGTTGTAGGGCTAGCGAGGGGTAGGGTATAGCCACAAAAAACATTGTTTTTCATAATACTTAAATAGTGATGCAGCTTTATCATAAAAAAAGCAGATAACTGCATTTACTCATATTTAATTTTAACAGATTTTCACCGATGCTCTAAAGGAATGAACGAGGGGAAGAAAATAAAAGTTTAAAAAACCCAAACTAACTTTTGAACCATTAATATGATCAAAAATTGTCTCTACAACCATAGAACATAGATTAAATACCATTCTAATTATCACCAAATGTATTGATTTTTATTTATAATAAATTCTGTAAACCATGCATAGTTTTTCTTCCTTTACTTTGCCCGTTATGCACTGCTTTCTGTTGGTCTCTTGTAAATCCCAGTGAAATACTTTAAGGTGGTGATTATAATGTGACAAACTATTAAAAAGTTTAAAGGGAATAAAAACTTTTGCAAGGAACTATATGTAACTTCTTTTTTGCAACCGAGAGAGAAGAATTAAGCACCACCACGATTAGCCGAAGTAATCTAAGGAGTATATATATAACTATGGACAGTGAAGGACATGTGATGCTAATGCAACGGGAAGGGGAAATGGACTGGGGGTGGGGTATGGGGGGGGAGTCTATAGCACATTATGACACACTGGAGCAAAAGGTTCTTCCCCTTTCAAACTTAGTCTCCTATCAAACACCTTATGATACAAGAAGTCAATCACCGATGGGACGAGTTCTAGCCCTCAGCCAGATCAAATGAAGATTGGCTACTTTTAAAATTCCCAAAACAAAATGAATAGAAAGGAAAAAGAGAAGCGACTGTGAAATAACTGATAGTGTAATCGTGAAACCAAACATTTAAAGAAACCAACACCAAGCTACAACTATCAGGCCAACGACACCACAAGGCTGGTTGTACTAATCTAGCTACAGTCAAAAGTGCATTTGATACACGTGTTCACATAAAAACATGTATGTCAAAAAATTGAAGGAATTCTAGATCGCTGAAATAACCCCGCAGTTCATCTTGCTTTCTCTGCCTTTTCACTCTTTTTCCTGGAAAAAGGGATGATGTTGGTTTGGCAGTGTTTGGATCTTCAATGGACGACAAACATCACGAGCTGCGCTGTGCCATACAGGTGGCAATACTGTTGGAAAGAGATCTCGGCAGTTGCTAACATATTTCTAATTAGTGCATTGTCTGTTAAGGCATGAGATTTAACCCTCCACGTGCTGTGTAGAGACAAATATAGCCTAGAATTCATAGGCTTTTATTCACACCGTAGAGACAGGCCCAATCAATTGTTCAATAACGTGCTACTTTTACTGAGGACAGACCTCACACTTTCAAAGATCTGTTTCTCATAAGAGTGATTCCTTTCTTCTGATATCTATCAAGTTGAACCGGAACCAGATGTGTGCCAGCTGACCTAAGCTAAGGAATTGTTACAGGCGTCCTATTAGCCCAAAAAGGTTTGGAGAGCTGTGTGTGTGTTTTTTTATAGTACCTGCGCTGCATATTGCAAAGGAAGCCCTACAGTTGAGATATTCCACTTATCAACAATTTGATTAGGCTATTTACCGCATACAGACGCTCACGGACACACAAACACCGAAAGGAAAGGAACACGACTGCGCATAAGTGACGGACTGATATCAAAGAAGCTCTACTCCATCACAACAGAAAGTTTTTTTTTTCCTGGAGACACACATCATTTACACACATACACACATATAAGTGTATTATTAATAATCTAATATTACTTCCGCCGGCATACTTGGACGGGAGGTTCTTTATTATTACTGTTGTTTCACTGTCAATGATGTTTGGCTTTGAACGATCTCATAGGAAAATTCTGCACTGTTAAAAAAAACAAAAACCAAAAGAAATAATAAAACCTTTAAGGGAACTGAGACGATAGAATATTTCAAAGGTTTAAACGTAGACGAGCACACACAATGGTTAAATAAAATAAATGCTTCCATTAACGCGGAACCAGAGTATACTGAAGGTAACAGCAAGCGATAACAAAAGCAGAGAATTGCGAAATTTACAAAATGAAAAACTTGAAACACCGCTATTCAGGTGAACTCTTAAAAAAAAAAGAAAGAAGAAAGTTTTTTTTTCTAAAACTATATCTCTGTTAACAGTAGTGCACTTATTGGTTTAAGCAGTGCAACATATATGCAAGAAGATAATGCAGTCCACTTATCAAAATTAAACAAAAAATTTTTTTTCCTTTAAAATTGAGAAAAAGAAATTTTATTAAAGAAAAACAATTAAATATTAAGCACAGGCATTTTAAGAAAATGTGCAAAACAGCACTTTTTTTCTGAACTGACAGAAGGTCTTTTGAAGACCTCCTGAATGCAGTTAGTTATTCGCTTTATCGTACAACTACCAAAAGTGTTTGCTCGCTTAAAGAAGCAAATCCTTTAGGCTGCAGTTGCACGTGTGCATGTGTTTCTCTGTTCGTGTGTGTGTGAGAGAGACCTATTTTGGATAGAAAATCAAATACAAAAGAATGAAAAAACTATCTGAAATCAGCCTTAAGTAGCACAATGCAAGAATGACGACATGAACACACAAGCTTCCACATCTAGTCTACACATACTGTGTCTTGGTGTAAGAGAAAATTGGGAATGTATGCTGTTTTTCCACACAGTCCATCTGCAGCTTGTGGTATATCATGAAACAGCGTGCTATCGATTGATGGAAGCTACTTGTTTTGCTTTCAGACTGTATTTCCTTTCAAAACGTTGCATGCCATTTGAGCCTTCAGGGAGAGAGAGAGAGAGAGAATGCACGAAGAGTAATGCACTCAGCTCTCCCACCTGCTGAAACAGCTCCACAATCGTAATGAACAGGTTACACAGGCGTTCTAGGATCAGGACGGCAATTATTTTGCTTTTTAGTCTGACTCAAAATTAATTTACACCATCTTTTACAACGCCGATCCAATCAGGAACTGGCCGACCCCCTCCCCACGAAACTGTAATTCAATTATGAGATTAAAACCAAACAGGCTACTCGATAACAACAATAGTTGAAGTGACAATTCCTTTTTTTTTTTTTTTTTTCCTCTAAATCTATATCCCATAACAGTCGGGTGCAGGTTGAGGAGCAGCAATTATGAAGGAGAGAGTTTAGTCCCATATTCCAGCCTGCCTTAACTGTGAAAAAGGCTGAAAAGAAAAAACAACCATCAGCACAAGAATCTTCCATTTTTTTTTTTTTTGTTTTGCAGTGGAAGAAATCTTAAGTAGCCTTAACAGTCTTTTAGGATATTAAAAAGGCAGTGTATGCAAATGAGATAAACTCCAAACTCCAGGAAAAAAAGGAAACGTCTTTTTGCTAAAATACTGTCTGATCCACACATATTAATTTAGTAAACGTTATCTTGACCGTCAAAATTCATGGACAATAATCGTTAAACAGGTGAGAAATAATAAGTTTCCCCCCCATCACCTTTGACAGGAAGTTACTATTATGTAAGATGACTAAAATTGGTACCTTGACAACAGCTGCATTATAATCCCTTAAACCACAGGAATAAATAAAACCCAGTGTCAAATTAAGTACTCTGCATTTTTTTTTTGATATAAGAAGGCAATCTTGTGACCATCAGTATTTTAGAGGGAATATGTAGCCCAACCCCAGATATATATACTTTTTTTTCAGTTTTTTTGTCTTTTTTTTACTGTTATCGTTGTAAATTATACCACAGTAAGCTTGGACATCTATGTTTCCAAACTGGTCAATATGGATTCACCACTGCCATGATTTTTGTGTTACGGCAATACATACGCACACACAGACACAATTGGACAAATAAAGAGACCAACATGTATGCAAAAAAACACAGACGTTCGAACATATTTGCTCATTTAAAGTCATTCAGACATATCTAGACTAAAGGTGTGTTTGTGTGTATGTGTTTCTTTCGTAGGCCTTTCGGTAGTGTTCAACACATAAATCAGTATTTTAGGAAAGCATACATTTAGAGGCCCGTAGTTTGGATCCATCCAGTAGATCATCATCAAACTACTGAGCCTTAAGGCCACCATCTTTTTTTTTCTTTTAGAACAGGAAAAAAAAAAAAAAGTAAAATTTTTTTGGGGAAACTTAATGTGCCAGTGTCTATACTCATTACTCTTCATACCTCAAAATAAGAAAAGGAAATTCTAGTGCCATTGTATTTGTCATTCTTTCAGAAAGAAGTTTCTTTTTTTTTTCAAATTTGTACTTATCCATCGGAGACATGCATTCGCATGTGGTCATTGAAGAGCTCCATTTGGTCGAACTTGGCAGGGCAGACGGAGCACACGTAGGTGGTCCCTTCTTGGCAGCTTGCTTCAGCAGCTACACCCACTCCCGTTCCAACCCCAGCCCCTACTCCGGCGCCGCCGCTCACTGGCATGGCGAGGGCCACAACTCCAGCTCCGGGCTCGGGGACAGCAATCGGCATGGGGATGGAGACAGGACCCGCACTGCCTGCACTCACAGACAGACCAGTGATGGCACTGGCATTGCTGTGTAGGGCCATGTGGCGCTCCAGCAGGGTCTTGTGCGAGAACTTCTTTTTGCAGATGTAGCACTCATAGGACTTCTCTCCACGGTGCAGCCGCATGTGGACGTTCAGCGAGCTCTTCTGGGTAAAACGCTTGTTGCAGATGCTGCATTGGTAGGCCCGTACCCCTGTGTGTGTCACCATATGTTTAATTAAGTAATCCTTCAGGGAAAACGAGCGCCAGCAGATGCTGCACTGATGAGGCTTCTCACCTGGAAGTGCAGACAATACAAAAGCATTAAGGGATTGAAACCCCCCCAAAAAAAAATATGGTTTACACATTAGACAGGAACACTCATTTGCAGTGTCTGAACAGTTGCATTTGAGTAGTTCCATTGCCATGTGTCCAACTGTACTCTCAATCTCATGCTAAAATTATGTTTTAGCAAAAAAAAAAAAAACTGTACTATTTGCATCACTCCTGGGAAAACCGTGCAAATCTTAACCTCCTCATTCTATTCCCATCTCCGTTTCTAAAGCTAATTTAGCTCCATCTGTTCATCGTGTAAACAGCCAACTTGATGAGGGCTTTGACTGAAATGTCAAAATCTGTGTGGTGCGGCCATTTTTAATGAAGGATTTCAGCTTCCTCATTGTGCAGAGTGTTTATTAGGCTCTCTGAAAGCATATAGTGAGATATTAAAGGCAAAAACATGAGCAAATAATTGATTTGGAAGAGAGTCAAGTCCATTTTGTGACCCTTAATTTTCCTGAAACACAGCCAGCAGACTTTTCATATGGATCATGTAGCTGGATTGTGTGCATAAACCTCAAATGCTATCTTGTAAGTACATACCTTAAGCTAGAATTAACTAATTCTGTGTTCATTTTGTTTAAACTTTTATTTCACTGAAGGATGCGGTCTACAGACAGTGTGAAAGATTTATTATCTCTGTCTAACACTGCTCTGTCAGTATCCCATATATATCAAGTACTTCTGGCCAGGAAATGGATTGTAATGAATAATAATGGTTGTTTGAATCTGGTTATTTTATGGGACCATCTAATTATATGATATTTGATTCTTTTCTTTTGTCAGGATGATTTCCACAGGAGCTAAATGATGAGGTTGGCATTGCTTAAAGGGGCCAAGTCACATAATACAACTATAGGGAAAACATAGTATATGTATTTATCTTCAAATCACGCAATACACTAAGCATATTGAAAGTGTTTACTTAGTCCTTTTTGTAAAGAATTTTTGCAGCAGACGTGATCTGCAGACACAAACATTGTTGCACATCATCTGCTATCAGCTTATATAACCAAATTCGAAACTCAAACAACTGTTAATATCATATGTTTTATACACTAGAAGAAATCAAAATCTAGAGAAGTAATTTTTTCTTAAAATAAGTGTATTTGTTGGCTTGAGAAAGTAAAAGACACATTTTGCCAATGGAACAAGACAATTTGCATTTAAAATAAGAAAACACAACTGCATTGTCTTATTTCAAGTGCATCTTATCTAATTATCTTATTTTAAGATTTAAAATACTAATTCCATTGCCAAACTATCTCATTTACCTACTCAAATTATGGGTGAAAACACTTAATTTGAGTCATTTTGATTTATTCATAGATCCTTTTTCCAGTGTATACCCTAAAAATGTTTCAATCACTAGAACTTGGAGCGTTAGATTGGGCTTTTTATCAGGCATCTGTATCCGTAAGGCTATGTCCTCACGCATCTTTTGACTTGGCAGCATAATCGAAATCCAGCTATACATTTCTTCCAGAGCGTCAGCGCCCTCCTCAGTGAACACAAACATACATGTTATATTGCAAGCATGACTTTTAGTTTATCCCTTCTGGGATCTATTTTGTTTTTGTACTTTTTCCAACTTGATCTTAGATATTCTAAGATATTCTTAGATATTCTTGCTGATTTCCCAAATATGCAATATTGTACCTGTGGTAATATTTTATGGTGAATATATACAAAGCGCTTTGTTTACAAACAAATAGAGCAGAAACAAACTGTTAAATAAAGAAAAAATATGAGAAACCAACAGGGCACTATAATTAAATACGGAAAGCTTTTTATGCAACTCGAGTGAGCCGCTGCCATATTGACAGGTAATGTCATAGTATGTGACCGGGCGCCTTTAAAAAAACACAAAGACTTATTTTCAGCTGTTTTCAAATTAACCTAATTTCAGACTATTTTAATCAGTCTAGTTTAGTCTATATAGTAAATATGTATAATTTCATAATATTATTGAAGTAGTTCGACTTGCACAGTTAGTACAATATTTATTCAGTATTTTTTATTTAGTCATAGTCTGGATTTTGTCAAAGTGGGGTTCAGTAGAAAGGTGTTACTTTCACTAAATGGTATTAAACAGGAAGTAATGTACTTTAGAGGTGTGCTTGCTAATTCTAGTTTGAGTCAACTTTCAAAAACAAGGCTGAACTTAGTATAGAAATGTTGGCCTGTTTTATTTTTATCCTCCAAACTCATGAGATGTGCTGTATGTGGAAATTTCTCAGAGCTAAGCACTTTACAGTTAATCATGCTAACCAGGCTAATTGCTAATTAGATGATTAAAAACATCATGTTTTCTTCTAATATTTTAACACATATTTGACCATAAAGCTGGAATAGAATATTATTTTATGCTTTCAAATGAAAATAATGTGATATTGTCAAATATTCTTGACAGTCAGAATGCTTCAAAATGTTCCAAGGAATCTATTCAAAACTTAATATCACTGTGAAAATCTAACTGAAATAAAAATATGAATAAAAGCTAATTATTTCATTGTTAAAGGGAACAGCGTAACCATGACTCTACATTGGGCGCTGTAGTGTTTCTACTAATATGGAGTAGGCTGTAACTAATGATAATTTTGCTTATCCATTAATCTGTTTTTTTATTTTTTTTATTGATTAATAATTGGAATAGAAAAAGGTTTAGTAAAGAAGTTTTTTTTGTAGAATTTAAACCAGGTGAAACTAAAACCTTCCCACTTAAAGAGTTCTGGATAGAGCATATTTAAGGATAAAACTTTTTTTTTCTTTTTATATCTTGCATGCAAAAAATTTGTGTATCTTTTTAATGGTCTATGTGGGTAGCTCTGTCAGCAAAATGCATGTTTTAGATTCTCTTTACTACAGTTAACAATTAATCGATTACTAAATTTGTTGACGATTATCTTAATAATCAATTAGTCCGAACAATCGTTACAGCCCTGATATAACTATCTGACTCCACAAGGCAGGAAAGAAATAAACAAAGTATAGTTAAGTAGAAAGATTTAAAACTGCTGAAATTGGGAACGGCAGATCAAAGCTTTAGGAAATCCAAAGATAAAGTAAATAAGCCACAAAACTATTGATAGGTACAACTCTAATAAACAATAGATGGGTATTAATATAGAGGAATCATAATAAACCTATCATCTTTTAAATCCTATTGTTTCAATGTTTGTATGTAGGGTGTGCTTTTCATTATCATTCCTATAGAAATAAGTACATGGTGCTGTCTCATCTTGTGTGGTCTGTTACACAATCCCAGGATTTCCTATGCAAAACAAAACAAGTTGGTCATAACTAAACCTGAAGAAGTGAAACAAAAAAGAGATCCATATCAGCAATAACAGCTGATAATATCAACAACTGGTATAGTGGTTCAAGCAGATAAAATACAGTTAGTCCAACTAAGCTTACCAACATATTAAACTAAAATAGTTGATTCTCAAAAAAATGAGCAGAGATTACACACTAGATCATTTACTGCAAATGACCAAATGTAATTCGACTAACCTTTAACTATTCCTCAGCAGATAAGATGCTGAGTGTGATATAAAATAAATGTAATTATAAGGATTATTATAATTATCTCTATATTTGAGCTTTTAATATTTGTAAAACTACAAAAAGCACAATATGGGATGATTTCTTCATTTTTAAAATCAAAACCTAAGATATTGAAAGAATCTGTGATGATGATAAAAAAATAAAATCCTACTTAACCCTAATCCTTTGTCTCACTTAACCTTTTAGCAGGCATTTAACATTTCTGTTGGAAACTTTGACTTACCAGTATGAACAAACATGTGTTTGACATAATTCTGTTTGGCAGTAAAGGTTTTACTGCAGAGAGTGCATTCATAGGGCTTCTTCTCCCCTGGACCCATCCCTCCTGTAGCCTGCTGTTGCTGCGATGGTGCCTGCGGTACCGACATGGGGTTTGGGAATGATGGCATTGCGGGCGGGGGCACTGCCACAAACTGGGGCTGCTGCTGGCCATGAAGGTACAGGAAAGACTTGTTGTCTCTAGACGGCTGTGCGGGGAAGAGTGTGGGCAGGAAGGTACTTACAGCAGTGCCCACTTGGGAATTGCTGGTCAGGGTGGGTGCCATCCTCAGGTTGCTGGTGTGTGATTCTATCTGGCGCATGTACTGGGACATGGGGCTGAGTTTGACTGAGTTTGGCAGGGGCTGCATCATGCTACTGTCACTAGTGCTGTGGGAAGTGTCCCCATCCTCCGTCTTTTGCATTTGCTCCGGGGACGAGTTGCTAACCTCTATCTGCACCATGGCACCTTCGTTTTGCTGTCCCTCCCCAACCCCGTCTCGACTGAAGCCTGTCAGGTATGACTGCTGCTCCATGGTATCCGTCTCTGTGCTGATGGAAGAGCTCACCCCTGAGTCAAAGTTTTCAACCTTGGATTCGCTCTCCACACCCTCATTGTGATCAGTGTCATCCTGGCAGTCGCCCATATCGTCACAGCAGGTGTACTCATCTTCGGCCTCCTGCTTTATGTGCAGTCCTTCTGTACTGATGCGTGACGGTCGTTGTTGCTTGCGGCAGTGAGTAGACTCTGCAGTGGAAAACAAGCGATCCCCCTGCTGGGACCGATCCTGGATGCGGTTCATCCAGGCTGGATCTTGAGACTGATCCCTCTGATTACTCGGATAGTTTGCAGACAGTTGATTAGCGTAAAGGGACCGCTCACGGGTGCCATTCTGCAGAGATAGGCCAGGGAAGGAGTATAGTGATGTGTATGCACGATCTACACTTTGCTGTGATGTTACTTGCATATAGCCTGACTCCGCATCGCTGCTGGGCCCAGAGGTGCCAGACTCTGGTGTGCCACGAGGGGTGTCCTGGCCAGAATCTCCTGGTATCACCGGGAACCCCCCTGGACCAGCAAGGCCCACGTTCTGGGACACAATGCGAGTGCACTCATCAATGACGGTCTTTATCTGCAGAATGCTGGCGGCGGTGAGGATCTGCAGAGCTTCTGACTGAGACACTCGCAGAATGCCACTGTACATAAAGTCAATCAGCTTCTGGATGGATTGAACTGAGACCACAGAGGGGATCTCGATGTCACTGTAGCCCAAGAGCAGCTTGTCCTGAAAGAATGGGCTTCCAGCGGCCAGCACGCACCGGTGAGCTCGCAGCATGCTTCCATGGATCCGAACGGTCACGTCACAGAAGTGCCCGCGGTTTCGTTGCTCATTGAGGGTCTCAAGTACAGAATTGCTGAAGTTGTGGAGATTGATGTTATGAATGCGCTCGGTCATCCCCTTGCAACTGATGACACCTGGAAAGAGGGAGGAACGAAGCCGGCTGAAAACCTTACCATTAACAGGTACCTCAAATTACAGATTACAAAATAAAACACAATATTTGCTTTATTATATGAAGTGACATGTTCTAAAACTTTGTGTTATAATTTACACAACCATATGGAAGGTGTTGATGACAGAAGATAATCTGATCAACGTCCTAAATAAAGAAGCTGCCTGCCTAGAGTGTCTCGTCTAAGCATATTGATAGAAAGTTGAGTGGAAGGAAAAAGTGTAGGACATAAACATCCGGGATAAACGCAACTTCTAGAGCTGCTATAAACAGTTGAATCCAGGAAATTGGCAACAACTTTTATATTGTTTGTGTTGGGCTACTCCTGAAACAGGGATGACACCAGAGGAATCTTACCTCTGGTGTCAGAAAACAGATTTTGGGAGCCTTTTTATCTTCTGGTGTTTCATCAGGTCCAATTTTAATACAGCTGCTGACCAAGATACTTTAGATCACTTTATGATTACTTTCATGCTTCCTTCTGCTGATACTTTTTTAGGGAAAACTAGATTTATTTTAATGCAGAACTTGATGGCCACATTGCCAAACATATCTGTTTTAAGTGTCACTGCATAAATGCTTTACAGAAAAATTATCACATTTTCTCAAAAAGGAAGATGATATCAACTGAACCAAACAGTGCAGAATATATGAGGGCTGATAATAAAGCAACCTCCTAACACCTCAGCAAAGCCATAGACTGATCGCCTGTCTGCAGTGGCGATCAAAATGAACCGAGACACACACTTCAAACATATCGGTCTGTGTGTAATGAGTATATAGAGCAGATTAGTTTCGATGTATGAATTTAATTACTTTAATAAATTAACTTTTAGTGCCGTTCACCAAAACGGCCTTTTAATTTTACACATCACAGAAATATACTGAAAAAAAAAACAAAAATCTATTTTAAAAACAAACAAAAAAATTTTTGTTAGTATGACAGAATCAATTATAAATTTAAAAAAGTAAAAAACTAACCTATAAAACAACCAGAAGAATTATTTTTATTCATACTGACACTACTGGTTCTTAGCACTGTGCCTGATACAAACAAACAAAAGTTGTCTCAGGTGATGAAGAATCAAGATGATTATTTTATTAAGTAAATTTAGTTGTTTTTGTCCTGAAGTACCTACAACCGCCTTTAGGTGGTGCACTGTGCTAAAAGGACAACAGGCCTCTTTTGTCAGCCATGTGTTCACAATGATGCCATTTCCTAACTATCCTTTGAATACACTATATGTGACCTAGCTGATCAGAGATAACCTAATGTGCCTTTTTTCCCTCAGCTGGAAGAAAGAAAAAAAAAAGAATATTTAAATAAAGTAAGAAGAAAATGTAGAAATGTGATATTTAAAGCTGCAGCAGATTTGATTTAGTAAAGCTTGTCAAGTATTGGATTGTTTGCAACTGAAGGTGTTTTTGGATGAGTTTAAAAAAAATACAAAATAAAATATGTGCACTCCCTTTAAAACTAAATATAAAATAAACCTATGTGGACATTATATATAATTTTAGGTTAATGTCTTTTTTAAAATGTATTCACACACACAAAAAAATGCAATTTATTAAAATTAAAAAGAATGCAACACATTATTAATCAACCTTATGACACTAGGTAAACTAAAGTGAAAATCACAATTAAAATAGTGATGTGAGTTAAAAAAAAATTAAGCTGGCCATTACTCACAGTTAGATGATGTTTTTTTTTTTTTTATGAAATGCTTGTGAGGCTGGTGATGAAAAGCGGGTCAGCTTGCTGGTGGAGATGGCTGATCAGTGACCTGGTGCTAGGCAAGGCTGTCAGTCCTCTCAGTCCAAATCATGTGTTCCTCTGCTACAGTGTTTGGAGAGGAGGGGAAGAGAGGGGGGAAGCGGGTGGGGAGGGGGGACACAAAGACAAATCTTAATGCCACATTCTGCCTGTCGATGTTGCCACTCCCTTAATGAACCTCGAGCCACAGTAACAGGAATATCTGCCACAGACATGCTGCAACAGATGTGTGAAGAGTTTTTACAGCAAGGCGAGTGGACGTTTCTGTGATCACATGACTTCCAAATCACAAATCAATGTTGAATATGATTTTGTCTTTGGTTGCCTCTCCCCCCCCCCTCAACTGCAGAATAACAAAGCCACACCCTTGTCAAGAAAAATAATCTTTCGCTCTTATAAATATCAAGGATGGCCTTTTGTTTGAATATAAAACTGAGAAAATCAAAACCACGAAACGTTCTTTAATCCAAAATTTTATCTGTGTAATGTTGCATATAAGTGCAGAGTAAATGTAAGCTCTAAGATAATAGAGATGAGTCAAATATTAAGCATGCAAGGCTTACTCTGGAAATCACAAGAAAGGCATTCAACAGCATGAGGCATGTGATGTGCTGGTTTGGTGACGCCAAGAAAGCCTGACACAATTGCTCTTCATTTCAACAAACGCATGAACTAAGAAACGTTTGACTCCAAAAAAACTGGCAACAGAAACAATCTAAAATGAGCCACAGCCCAGAAAACATCACCCAAAGTAAGGCAAAGTAAAAAAAAATACATAGAAGCAATATAAAAATTAATTTCCACACACGTTTGTTCTTTTTTTATGTGTTAAAATGTCCAGAATACATTGAAGTACAACCAGTAAAGCCTTAAAAGTATCTGGAAATTACACACTTAATGTCGGTTCAGTTTGACCCGACACTCTTAAATATTTTTGTGGGATATATTGAACATAGAAAAAAAACAAAAAACATTCAGCACTAGTTCCATTTGCCAAAACACTAAATTGAAGTGCTCTCTTTCTGAAATGCCAGCAGCCACACCGGGCCGCTGAGTAACCAGAGCGGTGCTGGGGTTTGACCAGACCTGCACATTAGTGTTGACACGAATTACTCTTTCACAGCACTAGAGAAGTTCTACAGAGGAACTCAAGCACAATTTTGTGACGCATTCTGTCTGCAGATTAATGCAACTATTTGATTTTTTTCTGTACCAAGGTAATATACAAATATGTTTTAGATAATGGATGTGCCTCCAGCAGGATGAGTTCTTTCCTGATTTTGGTGCTGCAAAGTGGAGGAGAGCAGAAGTAATTCCAAGCGATTCCACGTTTTCCACTTTACGATGTTCTGAAATCCCTGCACCGATGTTTGTTTCCCTGAAATGTGCTTCATCTTACATATTTGATGCGGACAAGTATTGGCATGTAATGGCAACGGTAGAGAATAATTTCCCCAAATTGGGATGGATCATTCTGTGCCATGGAAAACAGTCACACACAGTCAAGAAAAAGAAAACAGACGCTTCGAATTAAAATCTCTAACTATGATATTTGAGTAAACTTTTGCTGTTACATCGATAAAATTAACTTTAAGTAAGGTGTGCTCAAAACAGACAAGCCTTGAGCATATCTACCCGGGATGTTACTGATTTCAGCTTTTTCTCTGCGCTCTGTTCTGCTGAATCCCATTTTCTTTTTAAGGACTTGAACAGCTCTGTCAATTTGTTCCGTAGCCAATTTGTAGCCCCCATTTCTTGCTTCCTGTACATAAATCACTTCATACCCATGAAAACATAAAACCATGACGAATCACTTGATTTTTTTTCCATGTTGTAGCATTGGGTAATGTGACATTGTTAGATCGTAGCGGATTATAAAACTTACGAGCTGCCAAAGCAGAGCGATCATGTGTAAGGACACATTCTATGAAGTTTAATTTTATGCTCGTGGTCAGATACATCAGTTTCATTTTCCTCCTTTTCTGGTAGCTTCATAAATTAACTTTGGTATAGAAAAGAAACGGTTTGTGGTGTTAATAAATAGCATAGTAGTACAGTACTATTATAGCTAGTCTTACTGATTGAAAATAACATTACCATCGAGGTCATTTTCAGTTATCTCCTTATTAATACATTGTTCTTTGGTTGTTTATTGACCGTATTGTGTCATAAGCCTAATTGCAGATGCGAGTAGGAGACAGTGAAAGCCTGGTGTGGATATTTTAGCCACTATAGAGAGCGAGACCAAACCTTTTGATGAGGCCCCAATTTGAATGCTATGAATTTGCTAGTGAGGGCTTTTAACAAGATTTTAACCATAAAAGTAGAAGTAAACTGCAAAAAAAAAAAAAAAAAAAAAATCCACTCTTCCAGTGTCTACTACATGCTCAATTACAATATAGGGACATTTATTAAGATGTTTAAGCTCCTGGTCCTTTATGTCTCCGTAACCGTCAGGCATATTGGACTATAGTCTATGTTCTGTTTGCTAAGCCAAAATAATTTCATGGTGGTTTACGTCTCTGTTTTCACACATGAGCATTACATACCTCAATGAGAATCTTTGCTATGATGGGACCTTCAAATAGTGTTTTTAAATCTAAATAAAACGCTTTAATGTAGAACACTTGAATGCTTGGTGTATTGTGTGTTCAGGGTGCATTTCTTTCTGACAGATATGTAATATTTGAGACCTTCTGAGGGTGTCTGAAGAGAGAGAAGCATGAAATATTATGCAACTTCCCATAGTATTTTACAGCTACTAAAATGCTAATACTGGAGATAACCAATTATTCTGACGAGATTTCAAAAATAAATATTGATATATTGTATATTGATGGACTATTTTTGTTAGCAAGTTTGGACTTTACCTGAGTAGTGGTATTACCAAGTTTAAAAATGTAAATTTTCTGAGTTACAGCCACTATAGACTACGATTTACAGACGAAAATCAGCATTTGTAGGAAAAATTTTATCTCTCCTTTTGGTTCAAAATCTGTTCAAAGACAGGTTTATGGACAGCTGTTGTTAATGGCTCGTAAACAAAGATAACCTGCAAAAAATATGTATAAAAATATTGATAAATATTTATAATGACTAAGTCACAGAAGGGTAGTTGCTACAAACTATGTCTATTAACAGAAATGCACGTTATGTAAAGCACTTGCATGTGTGCAAAATTACATATAGTGTGTGCTAGTGTCTGCATTACAAAAAGTCCTATCTAACCATTATATATGCATAGAACTATTTTAAATAATCACCACTTCTATAATCTTATCTCTTTTCAAACCAAAATACAAGGCAATTAGGAAAAGGCGATTGTCCTGGTTAAAATGGAAAAATGTTAAAATGTTGTGGTATTTTCAAGATAATGATAAAATTGTAGATTAAAAATTATTTATTAATTATTCTTTTGCAGTCTCTCTTAGGTAACAATAGTGTCACAATCATAAAAAATGCTCTTAAAAAATATTTAACTCTAAAAAAGGCTTTTTTTAGGACACCAGTTACATACAGAACTCACTAAACTTCCCACAGTTACAGCAGTTAATCATATTCTTCAAATTTGTCAATTCACCCAATGGAAAAAAAAGGAAAAATTTGAAAAATCAAAATCATTGCAATTCACCAAATTTTTTGAAGCATCATTCAGTTTAATTTATCATTTAAACTATAAATAAAATTATTATCATGATGACCCCTGTAGCCAACCTGCTAATAGCATTATTAATAGATTTCACAGAACTACATTTCCATAAAGCAATCTATGACTATGAAAAAAATGTCCCCGGCAACAAACTGCAGCTCGGTTATTACTAGTGTTGCACTGATGCCATTTTTTTGGCCCCAATACCGATACCTGGCTGTGCATCATTGGTCGATACTGATATGCCGATACCATCTGTTTGACATCGATGTGTGTGTGTATATACGAAGAACTACATACAACTTGGATGTAAAATAATTGCCATCATGGCTTTGTCAAGCTGCTGCCTACCTTTGGGAAGCAGGAAAAAGACTAATACAAAGTGAATCCAGTAGAACTTTATATTGCCTACCTTGAATGGTGACAATAGTTGAATAAACTTTTGGCTCTCAAAATGGTATCGGTGCCCTATTTGTTAGTATATTACGATACCACCATTTTAGTGCTGTATCGGGACCCCGCTTGATACTGGTATCGGTATAATACAAGTTATTACAGGATCTGATTTGAAAATGAGACAATAAGAATACCAAGTAATAAAAAATAAAACGTATCTAAATTTATGGCAAAGCAGACAAAGCTATATAATATAATGTGTATTGGTATTTTTGACTAAGTTGTGGTTTGCTCCCTTTGTGGAAGAGAGAAATCGTAACCAAGATTTATGCCAAGATTATAGCAATTTCACTAGGCAGACAACATTAGACTAAAGTATTTAGTAAAATGGCAACTAGCTAACTGTTAGCCGCTAATCATGCTAAAGCTGTTTCCTAGCTTACTATAGTCACTAAATCTTAGAGGTTTTTAGGTGTTTGCTTTTAAATGAGTCGGAATACCATTTGAGTTTTGGGCCAGACTTTTTACTATTTACATTGAAATAAATCTGAAAAGTATAAATTTACACTGAACAGATATTAGTGGCCATCATCATCATTTTTAGAATTAGGATAGCCATAACTATGCAATTGATGGACTATATTTAATAAGTCAGCCCAAAATTTCATTTTTTTTTATGTGTTAATAAAAAAAAAATGAAATTTTGGGCTGACTTATTAATATCACTGATCAAAAATGATTTCCAGTCAACTATGGAGTTGTTGTTTTTTATCTTTGGAGAGAAGCTTGTATTATATCTTGTCAGAAACAATGTAAAAAATATTAAGTAGTGTTTATTTACATTTGATTTAAAAATTGTGGCAAAACCTTTTTTTTTATCATTTACGTCTCTTTCGTCAATCAGTGGAATAATTTAAATGACCAATGGAGCAATCAACTGTTATTAGTGCTTGCAATTTTGGCAATTTATCGTAATTTTTCGAAGATCTGCTTGATATTACCCAAATCCTTCCACAAA